TATGGATTCAATAGGATTAATCATATAATTCAAGGGACACATGATTTTAAATATCCAGCCGATTCATGCTCATATGGACTGAAAGATCCACTCTGTTAGCTATCAGTCCTATAGAAGGGTGGGGTGTTTCCAAAGAAAAGAATATATAATAATTAACTGAAACCCTGAACTTCCACCTTTTGGTGCAATCTATTCTATAATTTCCATTCCAGACTACACAAAAAGTGTGTTTGCTTAGCTAATAAAATCATTTAGCCAAGCAACCCCCTTGCTTGGGGTTCAGACAAATTTCCTCTGGTTCATGCCTCTAGGTAAGCCCTGTTATCTGCAGCAAGCTATCTCTGCATGCCAAACACATCTATTAAACCACAGTAGTTCAGTCACTGTTACCTTGATGCTCAACAGCCTGGGACCTGTCCTTGAGAAACTCCAGTGATCAGCAGACATATTGCAAAACTTCAATTTGCCTTTCAAAGTCTTCACCACTTTGCAAGCTGTCAAAATTCTTGTCATCTTGAAAGCTGCTGATGGGTAACTAAAGTTTAAAGAACACAAGAGAAAACAAAAATCTGCTTGTATGTGTTTCTTCAAGATGTGGTGCTGGCAATATGCTCTTGCAGATCTCAGGGAAAGAGAACAGAGGCCCAGCAGGTGTGCTGGAATGACTGTACAGCACTGCCCCAGACCTTCCCATTTATTCTGCCATTAAAAGTCCCAGGTGCAGCCCCACCTCTGCCCACCCCTCTTCAGAGCAGTGCTTGCTTAGGCATCCTTGCAACACTTCTCTTCAGGCTGGTCTCTGAGTGCTGTCAGAGGGTTTGCAACACAGGCCAAACACCAGCTAGAAGATAGCAAAGCCTGCTGGAGAAATCACCCCAAGATTACAAGAGTGACAGAGCAAGGGGGAATGGGTTCAAATTGAAAGACAGTAGGTTTAGATTAGGTATTGAGAAAAAAATTCTTTCCTGTGAGGGTGGTGAGGCCCTGGCACAGGTTGCCCAGGTCAGCTGTGGCTGCCCCATCCCTGGCAGTGTCCAAGGCCAGGCTGGACGGGGCTCTGACCAACCTGGTGTAGTGGAAGGTGTTCCTGCCCACAGCAGGGGGGTGCAACGAGATGATCTTCAAGGTTGCCTTACAACCCAAACCATTCTGTGATTCCTAACTGCACAGGAGCCAGGCTGTTCATGGTGTGCTTTTGAGTGCTCTCCACACTGGCTAGTGGGACAGCCTGTGGCTGCTACAAGCACACTTGTACTAAAAGGAGTGAAGTGGGAAGACCAAATTCTGTGGAAAGGCATAGACTTTTTATTCTGTCTTCGGAGAGCATGCAGTCAACAGAAGCACTAAAGTGTTCCAAAGTGCTGCCCCTACTCAAATAAATGAAATATGAAAGAAAAGTAAATTTTTCGACAGGCAAAATAAATGGCTGCAAAAGAAAATCATCTTTTGGTAACATTTCAGTGGCCAACAGCTGAAATAAGGTGAAATGTTCCATATGTTATCTCCTAACTGATTACAGACCTTTGTGACTATTATGTATTTCCTATAACTCTACACTACACTCTTCATAAAGAATCATGCTCATTACCCAGGGATGAAAATGCCTAAGACAAAAGCTGTGGGAGAAGCATGCCCATTTATTATTCTTCAAGAACTAAAATGGCAAGGCATCTTTTGAAACCCAGGCAATCAAAGCCTCAGTTGGCTCAGAGCCATAAAAACAATAGAGATATACATACAGACGGTTTTTGTGCAGCTGGACACATTCTGATGTAAAGGATTTTTCTAATCACTGAGAGTAATAATCATGACTTCTTTGTATACAGTGATTTGAGATTAGTCTAAATTGACACCAGTACCACATAAAAATATTTCCTGTGCAGCTCATGATAGCACCAGGTTGAATAAAAGACAGAGAAGAGAGGGCAATGGGTTTGGGTATCCTGTGTGATTTTTTGGAGACCTGGGTGAGAAACACATGGGAAAGGGCTGAATCCAGATAATTGAAAGAGATGGACAGAGATAGGGTGGAAGATAGACCGGGTGTATAGGAACTCACTGCTTTAACATGGGCTTTACAGGTGTGCAGAGCTGGGAGAAGTAAACCAACAGTGTTCCTGATAACTTCAGTGTGGTTTAGGAAAGACAGAACCATTTTTCCTACAAGAAGATACCTAACCATCAGTCTGATACGTAGGAGCTTGAGAGACTGGGATTTCAGACAAGCAAAAAAAAAATAAATACAAGGGACTGGGAAACGTTTTTGTTAGTTGTTCCTCTATTTGCTTGGCTCTAGCCTGTAGTGATCCAGAAAGCAAAGACATGCTTATAGGTGAATTTTTGGATTGCACTTGAGTTTCAGTGCAGCTGCTGATGGATCTAGCTAAAAGCCCACCCATTCCTTTTACCACAAGGCCATTCATGAACACTGGGCATAAGGAATGAGCAGAAAACAGACCATGGTTTTTGACAGAGTGGGATCTTGCAGGTGCAAACAGCTGCAAAACCACATCATGAACTGTGTTCAGCGTATCGGGGATCTGCAGGACATACACAGATCTAATGTGGCAGCCGTATATTAAGGATTAAATGCTATATGGGTGAACCACAGGCAAAAAACTGCTTTCCCAAGGATGCTCCATTGACTGCTGCTGTAGATTTGACCCTGCTGTCTTCCTTTTTTCCATCTTTGTTTTATTGCCCAAATTGATTAGGCCCAACTCAGACCATCTGACATTAGGAAGCTTATGCCTGCAGTATAAGAACCACCTGCCTTCTTAAAGCCTCCCCCATGATGAAGGAACTTCCCTCTGCCAAAACCAGGGGAAAACAGCTAACCTATTTGTTTCACTGCCAACATGCTAAAAAGAGGTTGACACTGTTGACACTTTAAGGCCAGAAAATATATCAGGTATTCCCTAGAGAAGCCTCAGTTCAGAAAAACCTGTCAACACACAAACAAGCCTTCTGTGGTTTGGACAAATTTTAAGTATGCTCTTCCTTTAACATAAAGACCAGAAGAGGTAGAATCAAGAAAAAATTGAATCAATAAGGAAAAAGAAACCAACCACAGAGTAGCAGAAAAAGAGAAGAGACCAATGGTTTTAAGGAGATACAACCACGATGCCTGAGCTTCAAATTTGCCTACCAGTACATGACTCACAATATCGTCGCCTATTCAGGAAAGAAAGTTTGGGCAGGGGCTCTGGAGAAAAGGACATGTATCAGAAAAATCAGGAATGTAAAGCCATGAAGGCAGAAGATTCACTCAGGCAAGCACAGTTCAAATGCTGGGGAGGAAGGGAAGAACAACTCTGGCTTCCTTATCATGTCTTATGTGTTTAGAGAAAGGTACAGTGCCTTTTGTTTTATATTCACTTACACCATCGTACACAGAGAGGGAGCAGGACAAGGAGAGTAAAGTGGTCATTAAAATGAGGAGCTTTTTCTTACTGTTTACAAGTGCAAAACACCAGAAACAGAATTCATTACACAATCCCACTGTACTGTAAAAATCAAACAAAATCAGCAGTCTGTGGACAAATTCCCAAGGCCAAGAGATTCAAAGAAAGCTAAGTGCCTGCATTTGCAGAGGCTTAAAACAAACTGCATGATCTTCAGAAGAGAAGTGCTCAGAGCATTTGGGGCCCTGCTTTGGTGCCCCAGAACTGGCACCCCAAAATGGAAACTCATTTGTCACAGCTGGGAAGCTCTGCTATGAAGCAACCAAGCGATGCAGGATTTTTCATTTCAAGTTGTCTGTAAATAGCACAAGATAGTTCCGTTCTTGCTCAAAAGACAAGAGATCAGGGCCAATTTGTGGGCACGTTGGGTTAGATTCACATCAGTGCAAGTCCCAAGTAACTGCTTCCATCTCAGTGGAGCTCCAGTGGCATAAGTCTCCCAAGGTTTGGGATCAGTGTATGAAGCAGCCTGTGTGAATTGATTGGACTCTTTCTTGTAGCTGAGATCAGAGAAGAATTTTTTTCCCCCCATATCTCCTTCAGGTGCTTTTGGAAATCTCTCATGGCATCTGTCAAGCTGCACCTGATTTCTGACCACCCTGTCTTGTCTCCCCTAAATCACATTTGAAAAATATTGACTGGAAAAGCAGAATAATCGAAAGTTGCAGCAAAACTGAGATTCTCTGCTGCCACAGGGAAGAGAAAAATATTCTCCTTCATCCATACAGCCCACAGAAAAGCCCTCAAAGTGATTTGGAAAACTCTCTTCCATTGCAAGGCAAGCTCCACTTGCTTCCCAAGAAACTTATAAGGAAGAGTTTCGAAAGCATCTGAAAAATATTAAGATTTGCCATACATTTTCTAATCAGGTGTTAGTTTATCAAGCAAGATCACCGGAGAGCTAGACAACAATTTATGATCACAGCTTACTATTAACCACTTTATCAAACCCAGCTACCTCAGAGACCATAACCTACTTTGTTTGCAGTACGTAGTGGGGGAATAAGCTGAAGTTCTCTTGTTTACATGCAGATGAACTAACAGCATCCAGACATGCCCCATCACCCAGTCCTCTTGGGTTTCTGCAGGAGAGAAATCAAGCCCAGTTACACTTTCAGATATGTTGTTTTGAGTCGCTCTCAGATCAAATCAAGCATTTCAAGCAAACCCCACAATGTTTAGAAAGCATGGTAACTGTGATTCAAAGTGAGAAAAGCTGAGAATTTCAAAACTAAGGGTGACCTTCACCTGAGTATATGGAGAGAAACTGAAAGGAATAAGAATCAAATGTAAGTCTTACACCTCTCCTGAATTCTGTTATTTAAGCCACAGCCAGAACATGTTTTTTTTTTCCACAGAGTTTGTTCTATTTTAGAAGAGGTTTGGGGAAAAGGGTATTTTAAATTTTAAGGGAGCAGTTCATAGCAGATCTTCAGATTTGGCTACTGCATTTTGTTCCAGCCTTACTAACTCATGTGATTGTGACAGGAATGATTCAAATATAAACCTGGATGATTTATTTTTTTAGATGGAAAAATTCCAAGTGTCAAGGCAAGAACAAGAACTAGAAATGGACTGCTCCTAGCTGCCCACTGTGCCCTTACAGGTGTACTCTTGCTTGCAGCTTGTTTTCCATCCAACTCAGTGCCTTCCTGAGATGCAAACTGCCCAGTCCTCTTTGGTTCCAAGTCCTTTCTACACCTGTGACTTAGCTTTTTGCTCTCTGTTTCCTTCCACAGTTTCTCTGCATGAGTAACATTCTCCCAGTTCCTTGACATGACTCTCCAACTCACCATGCTCCTGAAAGCTGCTTTCCCTTCAGCACACTTCAGAGGACAGAACTCACCGTCCCTGTCTACAGAAGTTCAGCTTTCCCCATTCCTAGTCACTCCATTGTTTCCACTGTTCATTTCACTGACCACTTCACTTGACAGAGTTTCCAAAAATCTGCTCTTTCAGTTGCAAGTGTCTCTGAGAAACGTCCTCCTGTTGAAGAAAACCAGCTATTGAGTAATATGGTTGAGTAAAAACTGGCAGGGAGAACATCTGGAAAAATTTAACTCACAGCATTCATAGCGATGGCAAGTTCATATCAGGGCAGTTACATGATCAGATGCTTCATTTCTTTTTGGCCTTTTTCTATCTTCATGCTCTTTTTTTTTTTTTTGGTTAATCCCCTCTCCCTACTACCCAAAGACTCGGCTAAACAGGGAGAAAATACAAGGACAGCTTCATCTGCTTCCAAAGATAAAGCTGCAAAGAGTTTAACGATAGCTATAACTGGATTGTAGAAGTCAGCCTGAAAAGCAGAAATACTTCTTGTCCTTACATCTTTTCCCTTTGTTTTCATATACTTTTCTACTTGATTTTGTCCTGCAAGGACAGATTGCGACTGCCCCTTGCACTAAAAATGGCAAGAATCCTACCAAACCTTAACTATTTCCTGCAGAAGGGAATAATCAATATGAAAAACAGTATGAAATCTGCATTTAACAGTACAATGAAATCTTATTCCTAAGTCCCAACCCTGCAGTCCTCACTCATGGAAAACTAGTGTTTCTGGGTGAGAGGAGAACACACAGATCTGAGCCCTGAGCCAAAAACACAACGTGCTTTGAATAAAATGCACAAATTTCATCTTGGTGGGCTTGAGATACAAAATTCCAAAATACAGGCTATTCTCCTCATGGTCTTTGGCTGACAAAAGCCCAATCCAGAGAAAACATGGATACATTCATACTTTTGGATGGAAAACACATTACCTATAACTTGAAACATCTTCCTGAATCTGACTGAATGTCACTTTTTGGGGGGAGTCCAGACAAACAAAAAAGTATAAAGAAATATTTTAAAAGGAGTTGCTAAAAATCTGATTTTATTAAGTACTGCAAGTAGTTATTTGCACTACTGCAGAACTTTTTTAAAAAGAAATATATTTTTCCTCTTTTAAATTAAAATTTTCCTTCTGATTTTTTTGTTTTCAAATGCAAACTGAAAAGCAAATTTCAGTGAACACAATAAATGAAGACTTTAATTTTGATATTGTAATTGGAATGGCAAAAAGCATCAGACTCAAACTGAGATGCAGTTTCTTTTTTTTGTTTTTTTTTTTGGGTTTTTTTCAAGAATATTAGTTCAGTCTGGCTGACAGCTAAGAGCAATTCAGTTCTTCAAGGTAAATATCTTACTCTGGAAACAGACCCTCAAGCCCCACACACAGTTTCATAGAACAAAAGAAACATTCCTCAAAACAACTGAAGTATCCAGGGGTGGTAGCAAATCCCAGAGGGATGCAGGATAGAAAAGTGTTCACTATCAATCAACAGCCTCTGTGACAATTTCAATTAACGTCCTACATGCTAGTTTTAAAAGCTAATACAGACTTTTCATCTTGTAAAATAAAAACACTCTTAACAAAATAATTGAAAATCTCAAACAAGACAATGTGAAAGAACTTTAAAAAAAAAAAAAGGCAACCTTATTTTTTATTCTGAATTGTCTAACTTGGCACCTCACTTCTTTTTCAAATTTTATCTATAAGCTGTAATCGAGACAGCCTTTTGACCAGTAAAGTTTATAAAATGCTTAGCAACAAGTCTGTTACATATCTATTCCCAGGCTCGAGAAAATCAATTTTCAAGGAGTTTATAGTTTTTTCTGAGGCTTGAGCAGCTCAGGGTACACTCCTCTGCTGTCTGGGATATGGAGCCCATGATTCACCCAAACTTGACAAAGATAAGGCTCTTATCTTCAGCAAGAGAAAAAGAATCAACACCCCGAAGATGGGTCAAATTTCATTGCCACTGGGATTAGCAGCTCCTCTTGGATCAGCTGACTTGGAAGAAACCTTTGCAGTGTCTGGAAGAGACTGACATTACTCCAAAAGGCCGACTGCAGAAAGCCCTTAGTTGGCTAAAACTGGAATCAGCAGAGGAGCGCTGCCCAAGGGCAATAATGACAGCCCAAAGTGCAGTTTGCTCCACCTCAGACACAATTCTTATTTTCGTGGTGATGCAACCAAGGGAGACTGGCCCCAGGAATCTCAGAGCTACCTGACAGGAGTCTGACTTCAGTCAGGAGCTGAACTCTATTTACTGGAAGATGTTTGAAGGCAGAAAGATTTCTCATTCCCTGACATTTTCTAAAAAGACATTTTTAGAAATGGGGACCAGGGTTAGGAGTCATTTTTTTTCCCTTGTGATTCCATAGACTCATACCTTTCACTGGCTTGTAGCCACGGATCACAAAAAAGACCAAACAGGTTTTACAAAAAGTGCTACAGAAATAGTTTACAGAGTTTAAAAATAACATGACCTTACAATGCAAGATTAGCTACATTTGTTCAAGATTTGGCATTTTTCTTTGACTTGATTCCTTTTTTTCCCAGTTAACTATAACTTCACTAAAATAAAAAAATCCTATGACCGTATAATTGTCATGGACATTTTGACCTGGGATAGACCATTTGGTCCAGCCTTTCCTCCTTGGGGAGGGCTGCTCTTGGCCAGACCCATCACACACCACCATGCAGTTTGTGATTTCAGGCCAACGACCAGGGAGACCCAGAAGGGAAGTAAGGAACTGAGTAGAGATAGAAAGCATCCATCAGAAGAGACAAGCACCACATCAGAAAGGCATGTTATAGGACTTATATATTTTCCTGGAATGACATGTACTCACAGCCAGGCATTCTGAAATTTGATTCGCAGGAACTGCCACTGGTGGGACACCTAGCTGGACTAAAACAAAGCCCAGATTAAACAGGCTTATTGTTCACAGCATACTACTAGGTCAGGACTAAAGCTACCCTCATCTTGAGCAAAAAGCAGCTCCACTGAAATGGTAGAACACATGACCAGTCCTTGAGCATTTGGGTAGTGTGATCTCCCAGTCCTATTCAACCAAGCTTGTCCTGAGCAAGAAGTACCCCACTAATAATATTCTCTAGTGCTAGCTGTTCCTGGTTTTGGTGGGAGGGAGTTACTTAACGTGTCCTTGGCCTTTCACCTTATATACAGCATCCCTAATCATTCAGTATTTTCCTTGTTGCTTTATGCCTGGTGCTCCAGATCAGAAGGATTTGCAAAATTCTTTTGTTGTTTTCTTCCCCTCGCTCCTACTTTCTTCTTTTTTCTCCTGTGGTTACCCTGGGGAGAAAAAAAAATAAAAAGCTTTGGCTGTTGAACACAGGGCTATACACTGAAGCATTTGTTTTAACTTACAGATATGTATCAGGCAAAGACATGCCTGAGAATGAAGATCTCTCTTTAAAGTGCACAGAAAAGTCTTGCTATATGGATCTGTAATGTCATTTAGCTGGGATGGGGGAGAAGGGACATGATTTTGACTGACTAAAGAACATTTTTAGGGCTGGAGAGCAAAGAGGTTTGAAGAAGTAATTGATGCTGTCAGGACTTTAACCTGAGAACTCCAGCACTGTCTGTTCAGATAGTATTGCTAAAACAGTGAGGAAGCTTTATGAGTGAGTCAGTTATAAACTATATCATGCTCCATGGGGATGACAGACACTAGATAAGGTTTTATACCTGGCCATACATAGAATGACAGAATGGGTCAGGTTGGAGGGGACCACAGAGGGTTACCTGATCCAACCTCCCTGCTCAAGCAGGGTCATCCCAGAGCACATGGCACAGGATTGCATCCAGACTGTTCCCGTTCCCCTGTTCTCTCCAGTGAGAGAGACTCCACACCCTCTCTGGGCAGCCTGATCCTGTGCTCGGTCACCCCACAGTAAAGAAGTTCTTCCTTGTGTTCAGGTGGAACTTCCTGTGCATCAGTTCCTGCCTGTTACCTCCTGTGCTGTTGCTCAGCACCACCAAGCAGAGCCTGGTCCATCCCCTGACATCCCCTCGAAGGTACTGATAGACATCAATGAGGTTCCCTCTCAGTCATCTCTTCTAGAGGCTGAACAGGCTCCTTCAGATTTTCCTCCTAAGAGAGATGCTCCAGTCCCTTAATCATCTCCATAGCCCTCCACTGGATCTGCTCCAGGAGCTCCATGTCTCTGTTGTCCCAGGGAGCCCAGAACTGCATTCCAGATGTGGCCTCATTGGGACTGAATAAAGGGGCAGGATCACCTTCCTCAACCTGCTGGCAAAGCTATTCCTAATGCCCCCCAGGATACCATTGACCTTCCTGGCCCCCAGGACACACTGCACAGCTTGTTGTCCATGAGGACCTCCAGGGCCTTCTCCACAGAGCTGCTTCCTAGCAGGTCAGCCCCCAGCCTGTACTGGTGGCTGGGGGTAATACATACTGCTGTACTTCAACAAATACAGCCCTTCACATCAGCATTTTCCTTAGCAAAATTCCCAGAAATAGGCTCCTCTCCACAACAACCTAAAGAGAGTCTGTACTTTGGAGCATGGGCTTTTATTGCCCACCTTAAAAGAGGGCACACAGCCCTGGCTGACATGAGTGGGACCAGCGCAGAGGCTTTGGGTGCAATCAGCTTGCCTTCCCCCTGAAGATATTCTGCAGTGTAATGTCCCCATCACTCATTTCACTCTGACACCAAAAAATGTTCAGCAGGATTTAAATTAATCATCCCATGGGAAGAAATCACTATATGTCCAAAGGCAGAAGGGTCCTAGTTCTTCCATTTGAAGAAGACAGGATCTCAAATACTGAACCATTTTGCCACTTTCAGCTTCAGGAAAGACAAAGCACATGATCACTGAGGAAAACTAGGGAGCCCCTGTTCACACTGATAAGGCCAAGGTAACACAAAATGCTTTTTGTTTTTTTTTTCTAATCTCCCTCTGTGAGAACACAAGCAGTAACCACAGAGCTGGAGACACCAAAAAGGCCTGTCTGGGTAATGCTCTGACAATTGCCCTCTGAACTTACTAGGATTGAGTTCCTTGCACTGCCCAAGTCAGGAGTGACATCAGAAGAAGAAAACAAACACCCACATCTGTGGGCTTAGTCCCATAAGTGTCAAAGCTGGGGCCTGAATATATTAAATATATGCGGGTATCTTTATGCTGCCTGCAACTAAGAGCCCTAAACACAGAGTTTAGTGCTGAGATAGTTAACTTCATGAACAGATGTGGTCATAATTATATCAGATTTTAGTAAAATGAGCAATCAAATTGTAAAGCAGAGTAGTACAAAGGTAGCTTGTTCACCTTCCTATACTGATTAAATTAATTTAAATACTCAGTTTTCCATCATTATCCACTACCATAAATTAAAAAAAAATCAATTCTATTCATTTATTTTCACTTCCTATAGATTCCATCATGCTACAATCTATTATAACCAAACCAACCATAAACTACCACATCCATTGCAATGAAATTGCACTAACCTGACAAAAATCCACATGAGCTAAGTACAACTGAGAAGTTTTCATTTCATTACTCTGATCACAGAGGTCTCAATGACAGCTTGTGCTTTGGAGACCACAGTAAATATGAGGAGTTGACTTATATAGGCCCTACATAGTCAAGAAGAGCTTTAGTTTGTCATTTCTGACTTGAGGGAGGAAATACAGATTGAAAAATACAGAATACTGATACAGTGGAAAAAGAATATCAGCTGGTAGGCAGGGTTGTAGGGATACCATCCCCAGAAGAGTGCTCTACAGAAGTGTTACCACGGAGTCAGCCAGTCATGCATTCCTGTAATTACATTTAACCTTTCCAGATAGCCAAATTCTCTCTCTCCTTCCCTTCTGACCCTAACAATCCACCTACAGCTGCAGCACACTCAGAAGCATGCTTTGAAGAGTCCGGATGCTCATTTTGGGTAGCATAGGTCTGATTTCCAGCAAGAATAGCAGAAGAAATTGGTCTCAAGCCATGACTTTGGAAAATACTCAAACTTTTTATTTTGCTGATTCCTGTGAAGCTTAAAGCCTTCATCCATACAAATTCCAGGCTTTGCCCCAGCCATCCTCCTCCCCTGACCATTACCACAACACCTCATCCTGGCAAATACAGGTTTTTTCATCAGACTTTGCCCCTACCTAGTACATTTATCTGTGAGATCCAGCAGGCAGAAGAGCCATGCTGATACAATGCGAATGCTTCCAGTTTTCTGTTTGCCACCATCCTTTCATTATCAGCTCTCTACAACAGATGGACTGTAATTTCACAGGCACCAGAAGTGTCAATAATTGCTTGGGAGAGGCAGAAAAGGCTGCTGCTTCAGTAGCAAGAACCCAGAGGGAAAAATAAAGGCAGAATATTGTGGAAGAAATATGGAGACCTGTGTTCAAGCATCAGCCTAGTACCAGTTATGACTATGGCTGGAGCTGGGGCAATTCAGACTGCTTTCTGTTGCCAATTCTGCTTTTTGTCCAGGAAAATGGGTTCCATGAGATGCAGCTAAAGACGTGAATAAATCTGTTTCAAGCTACTATGTTCCTTCTGTTGGGACAGCACCCATTTTGATAGCCACTATGCTCTCTAGTAAAGGTGCCTAAAAGCATTTCTATCCGTCCTGCCATTCAGCTAACATATACTCTCTCCAGATTTGCAAAGGATCACATGGGGAACCGAGATCAATTTAATCTTTTCATTGCTTGCATTCCCCTGAAAAAGTCACAATGCAATCCATTTTAGGCTTCTCCAAAAGGCAAATAAACAATAACTGAAAAACATCGAAGCAAAATAAGGAATGAGAAATTCTTTATCTTTTGACAGTCATCAGCTTACAAGCTCACCACACTGGATATGCTGTGGTGTTATGCATTTCCTTTTCCCACCCTCCACTTGCCTTAAATAATACATAGGAAAGATAGTAAGACACGAGAGTGAGAATGTAGTGAAAAAACTGCCTCTTTGCTTTGAGCAACATTATGAGTTGGCAAAATATTTTCAATCCTTAACGGCCAAGCTTTGAAAAGCGCTTCTGAAACGAAAAACAGGGCAAAATATCTAAAATGCAAGAAGAGCAGGAAACTCTCCGGCACACAGCAAGCTCTGTTCCTGTGTTACAGGCAGCAACCCATCAAGAGATGTCACTCTCTGGAGAACAAAGTGTGGCACCATCTCCTGGCACGGCCAGCATGGCTTGTGGCTGAGCAACAGGCAGCTGTGCTGGCCCTGTGTCAGCCGGGATGAGTCCTCCTTTCGTAATCCTCAGTACACCACCTCTGTTTCTCCAGAGAAAAATAAACCCTGCAGGGTTAGGGACACGTCCAGAGCATGAAACAGTGTTCTTAGGTCCACATCCAAGCCTGCCTTTCTGCAGTGTTTTAGTCAGGGGCAGCCCTTTCCCTGGGGACAGCGAGGTCCAGTCTCAGCGGAGCTGTACGCGGAAAAGCCCTGCTGATCCAATTTCTTTTTGTGCTGTGCCTAAACCTCAGGATTGCTACGTGTGTTTCTCCAAGGAGCTCTGGCCTGATGCACGGAACCACCGCTCTCTGCTGCTTACTCACGCAGCAAACATCCCCCGCCCCGCACCGACAAGGGCACGGCTGCCTCCGCGGAGCGCGGAGCAGAGCCGGGCTCCTCCCTCTTCTTCCTTGTGTGACAGAGTCATCTAGTGGCTGAGCCCTGAACGATCGACTAAAGCCACCACGCTGCATTTAGAGACGTGTAATAGCTTAAACGGGATGCAGCTGCTGCTACCGACACTGGAGACAGGTCGCTACAGAGCTGTTCGCCTATTAACTGCTCCGCTCAGGTTCACATGCCTTAAAGCAAAATATAAGCACGCGGTACCAGGCACACCAGCCCCGAGGAAATCCTCTCAGACAAATAAATACATAAAATAAAAAATAATAAAAAAAAAATTTAGAATTTAAAAAATAAAAAAAATGAAGGGTTGGACTTCGTCTCCCTGCCTTGAATGCAAAGTTGACATGATTGAAATTCACTAAACAAGCAACAGCTGACTGAAAAAGGAATCGAATAATTGGGATTCCCTCTTTTCTGTTTTTTTCTCACCATCTCCTGAAACAATTTATTTTTTTTTCTTTGAGCTATGACTTTACATATTGTAATAAAAAATGGGCATATGGATAGCAAAGGGGAGCTGGGCCCAGTGACAGCAGTTACTCTGCAGGCAGCAAGGCCTGGGTGCAGAAATACAGCACACAAGGACAACAGAGCCCAGTGAATGCTCCTTGGTACCTGTATATGGATACACGGTATGTGGGTGGCTCTAAAGGGTG